ATGGAAATCAACAAAATAGGAACTAGAAAATAGATTTATTGTAAAAACCCAAATAAAAACTCACCAATTGAATAATGGGGAGGTTTATTGTGACCTAAGACTAGCACAGACACCTTAAGTTTCTTCACTAGGCTCATAAAGTTGGGTACCTTGGACCTTGGATCATTAATGCTTCTACTTCAATATTAGAATAAAAAGAAACGAAAAAAAGAAATTTAATTAGATGTGAAAAAAATTGCAGAAAGATGACAAGGAAATAGGCTCCTTGAGAATATTCTGTAATAACATTACGAGACGAGTTTAGGGAGTTATTTGGGTCTGAACGGATTAATAGGCATAGGCTCCTTGAGAAGAACATTTGACAGCCTTTGATGTCTTTAAATGTTTTAAAATCCTTCCATAAAACTGCTACATAACTACTTTGTTGATTGTAATTATAAAGTTGAAACCACTTGAGAGATCCACCACAAACAGAAAATTTACATCTAGCTTTGCTATGAACTATCTTAACAATGTTTTTCGACAAATATAAAAGTTGCAGAAATCCCTTAAAACAAAAATGATACCGAAAAAATCCATTATCCTTTTCATATGAAATTTAACAATTTTGCATAAAAAATGTGTTATATATACATTGCTAGAACATTTAAAATCATATGGTAATACTGACAAATTACCCTCTCTGTCATTAGTTCTTTGTTCAATTCTTTTGGGGTATAAGAAGAACTTGAGCCAACTTCAGGGGTTCCTATCACACCCTAGCTATCAACATACTTCTGAAGCGTAGCAGCGCCCATTAGCCTGAAAAAGTTATCAACATTTCAAAATCCAAAAAGACGGAATTACTGAATAATAACACATTATTCACATAAATGAGAAATGGAGAGAGTTCAATCATAATGTCCTGACACTTATAATCCCCAGCCGTGAAAAAACGAAGTGCCAGGAAATGATTAAGCCGACAGCAACGGTGAACAAAATGGTCGAGATGACTTCTTGTAAGAGCTGATATTATTTGTTTGACATTGTGGGGTTAACCTATCCAGAGTACAACATGCTAAGGTTTGAGATAGGTGATGCAGTAAATAAAGTTTCATTAAGAAAGGTAACAAAATTAAATAGTTACTTAATTCTAATCATATGATGATGATAGTGTATAGAGTTTATACCATGACGGCACACACAAAGCAATGGGAAAAAAAAAATTAGCACAGCACAACATGCTAAGGTTTGACATAGGTGATGCAGTAAATAAAGTTCCATTAAGAAAAGTACCATAATTAAATAGTCACTTAATTCTAATCCTATGTGAAAAGTTTATA